TCGTCAGCAATCTCTATTGAGCCGGTTGCCTAGTTGGCGTGGAACTCCCAACAGTTTCAATGTGCACTCAACAGATTGCACTTCGATCACATAAGGGTAGTCATTATGTGCCTTGTATGAAGAATTGATTAGTGGGATATCTTGTTAATTAGATATCTTTGCATCAATGCATCATGGATGTTTCCAATTCGTTTTACTGATTTGTACCCAAGCAAAACATCTTCGTGAAATTATGTTGAGTAAACATCTTTGCAACCAAAATCAGTCATACAAAGGTTATTTAAACTGTTATAGAACTTGTGTGTTGCTTGGGTATTGTTTCTATGTAGCATTGAGAACACAACTCTAAATTGAATACCATGTTTTCATATCAATGGTAATTTTACAGAAAATCATTCATTTATAACATTGGAAACATTTTACCAGATACAAACATAACACTATCAAACTTAAAGTGATCATTTTATACGATAGATGAGACGATAAAAGTATAGGGTTGATTGTTTCGTTAGAGTTGTATGGCAGTGTGAAAATTGTATATAGAGAGTAGAAAACGAGCAAAGCTCAAGTTTGATGAAGGTACGAATCGGGTTGATCATCTCCTTTACCAAACTCGATTTGTTTACATTTGTTACTTAAGACCTATTGAAAAGTGATGCGAGAATTCACACATGTTTAGCTAAAGTGCTATCATATTTTTCATCAAACACGCATTTAACGATCAATTTAAATATGTCTTAGTTGGTAGTGCCGTCGCTTGGGGCGCGCATAGTCAATTCCCTTGCGTTTGACATTTACACGCTAGCGCCATATCAGTGCCAACATTTCAAAGGAGCGTAATTGTATTTGTAAACAATGGATTTAGCCGTCGATTTCTCGCGAATAAAAGCTCACTCATGAAAAATAATGACACCAGCAGGTAGAGGAATGTTTCCTTTACCAGCTAGCATTGTTATTTTGGAGAGGTAAAATTTCATTCGCGAGAAATTTACGGGTAAAGTCATTGTTTACAAAAGCAATTACGCCCCTTTGAAATGTTGGCACTGATATGTTGATAGTACTGCCCATGACATGGGTATACTCAATAGATGGTGGTAGCGTTTTAGTTGCGCTATTTTACAGAGAAAAATATATAATACGTTATGTATCTTTATCAACTTCAAATGTTACTTTCAAGTTAAGGAAAACACACGTTCTAAGCACATGATTCATATGTTTGAAACTGATATTGAATGCTATTGAACGTCACTTAAATAATATTGAAAATTATGCTTTAAAATCTGCTTTTTTTTATAAAGAAAAAATAGTTAAAGCTATCAGTGAAGTCTCATAATGAAATGCTATCAAGATTTATTTTAATATCTATCACCAACCAACCAATTCTATCCCGGTGCTCAATTTGCCCCCGTATTACAGTATTTAAATCTTTGCCATTTTTTTTTTTGCGAAATGTAGAATTTACATGATTTTCTTATGATTGTTTTCATCTCAATTTAATTTGTTTCATATCAAGATGGTAGGACGAAAAATACTAACGCACATTTGAAATTCAAACTTTGAAGGCAAATAACTGCCCCGGGCCCCCGGAACCTAAATCTGGCACTGGAACACATTAAAAACATGTATTAATATGAAAGTTTTTAAAATTATAAACTGCTAATGAACTCTAGAAACGCTTCATGAAGGTTTCTCGAGGAATTCCTACTACAAAACATTTCATCAACATCGTAAAAAATTAAAATTATAAAATGCACCATATTTTCGACTTGGTTGTAGTGCAGCCTTTTGACGTGATATAAATTTTAGTTTTTTTGCTCCGCAGGATCATTGACAGACGAGCCGGATTCTGATACTTCGCGAAATCTCCTATAGCTGTTTCTTCATATCCGCGATATACCCAGTACTGTAATCTTAAAATAATAACAGGTAAGTCGTAATTTTTCTCAAGGGGCGACAGATAAGTAAGGGCGAAATTCAAAAGATGTGCAGATCGAGAGCTTCACCAAAGTGAAGCAATAGAATTTCAAAATTATCGGTATGACAAAAATCCTCAGTAAGGGTGACATTGCATTAGATAAGAAAGAGAACTTCATGAGGACGGAGTATTAGAATTTCAAAATTATCAACGATGTGACAATGGTCCTCTGTTCAGATGTCATTTCTAAAACAAGAATGTCGAGAGCTTCACGATGACGGATCATAAGAATTATTATATTATCAATGAGGTGACAATGATATTCTGTTGAAACTTTATTCCAAAAAAAAAAAATTGTCTATAGAGAACTTTATGAGGACGAAGCATTAGAATTGCAAAAACATATCAACGATATGGCTATGGTCCACTGGAAGGGTGACATTCCTGAAATAATATTTTCAAGGACTTCATCAGTATGAAGTATTAGAATTTTACCGAGAGCTTCATAAGGACGAATTGCAAAATTATCAACGACGTGGCGATGGTCCTTTGTAAAGAAGATATTCCTGAAAATGAAAATGTCGACTACTTCATGAATAGCCATATCTGAAAATTATCGAGGTGACAATGATCCTATGTTCACATATTTAAAACTTCAAAAGGACAATATATGAAAATTTCAAAATTTTCAACGAGGCGGCAATAGCATCATTGTCCAGCCATTTGCTTGTTTAAGGCTCAATTCAGGCATGTCCAAACACATCACGGCACTGCGTACGGAAATTTTTTATCTAGCCCAAACAGTTCAATGAATGTCACACTAGCGCTACCGGGTGAGTGAATTCTGAATTAAACTCTTTGCCAAGATAGGTCTTGACCATTTGATCAACTTTACTGATAATGGAAATCTTCTATTTAGTCCATATGTTTTAAATAAAACAGCAAAAACGGTTATCTTCCATTTAATGTTACTAAATTAATTTTGGTATCCATGACAGATACGTATTTCGACTACAATGTGCAGTCTTCATCAGTGTCATTCCCACAAAAGAACTTCTCAAAATCTAATCCCCTTAAGTACTCATCCTCTAGGTAAAAATGTCAAGATGCCAGATATAAAAATGAAAATACAATGTGTAGAATCGGAACCTACCTAACTAATAAAAACCAAAGATTTAATTAAACTAGAGGAGAAAAATCTATGCAACTCTCTTATAAGAAAATGCTTGGTAGCCATCATAATAAGTATCTATCATGGATACCAACATTAATTAAGTGGAATTAAATGGAACATAACATTTTTTGCTACTTTATTTAAGCATTCTGCTAACAACCCAATTTCATTACTTCATTGTGATGGCTACCAAGCCTTTGGAAATTTTCGTTATTAGAGAGTTGTATAGATTTTTCTCCTTTATAACATTGAAAATACTCCAGCAACGTCTAGGTCGCAGAAAATGCTCACTAGAGATCATTCCAATGGGCTGGAAACTTTAAAAAAAAAAGAAAAAAAGATGGTTCTTTAACTACTTCTACTAATGAAACGTTAGAGTTGATTATGAGAACACATTTTCCATATTCTATTATCAATTTAAACGAAGACCAAAACGCAACGAAAACAGCAATTGGTATCGATGAGCCCAGGACGAATATTCATGAAATATTGAATGAAACGATTGAGTTAGACAGAACAAAAGCTGATGCTTGCACTTTGGCCAACATAATCTTTACTGAAGAAAAGATGAATGGGCGATTGACTCTTTTGAACCTTGCAAGTAACCAGGTAGGGATGGAATTTTTCTTGTACTACTATAAAAGGGAAAAGTGGTTTTAACGCCTATTCTAACAAAGCTAATTTAAGCAAGCTGGTGAACTTGGGATACATATTAAGCTTTATACGGGCAGTGTGGCGACAAGTGCGAATTATTTTTATCCCCAAGGCTAATAAAAAGGATAAAACTTCACCAAAATCCTTCAGGCCAATAAGATTATCGTCTTTTATGCTAAAAATAATGAAAAAAAGACAATAGATGAACACATAAAGTCAGCGTATCTAGTTAGAAATCCTCTGAGCAAATATTAGTTTGCATACAAGGAAGGTAACTCGTCAGTAATGGAGTGCTGTTACGGTTGTTACAAAACTAGAAAGATCTTTTGAAGCCAAAGAAATTTCAATTGCTGTATTCCTTGACATTGAAGGTGCATTCGATAATTCATCTCACGATTCAATGACTACAACGTGGCTTCGATCAAAGCATTGTAAATTGGATCAATGAGATGTTATCAAAAAGAGAAATATCAGCAAACCTTGGAAGCTCACTCATCAGTGTAAGAGCAACGAAAGGATGCCCGCAAGAAGACGTGTGATCACCTCTATTGTGGTCTTTAATAGTTGATGATCTTCTCAAAAATTTAATAGCTCAAGGCTTTGAAATAATTGGCCTCGCAGATCTTAATTTACACTTATCCTCACGCGAAAACTAATATTTGTTTGATTTGGTACAATTAAAAAATATGCGAAAAACACATGAAATCAGCGCCAGCAAAAACAAAACCAACCGTTCGCCGGACAAATAATATTTTTTGAAGGTCGAATGAAAACAATTATGTGTTTCACACATAAATTTCATTTGCGAAATCACATGGCAAAAATCTATGATCAATTTTCTCAGTGTAGTCGAAAACATTTCACTAGGTTTGACCAGAAAATTGAAACTCTGTTCATAGTGACTATGTGAGTACTACTAGTGTTTCAAAAACGAAGCTCTAGGCTTATGTGGAAGTTTTATAAGTTAGGTTTTGGAAGCGTTGGGAGAAATTTTCCATTTTTGTAAATAAGAAGAGACAATATCTAAACTTTTCTGCAGTATGCTGCAAATAACACGAAGATTTCTTCCTATAGTGGAAATGCCTGCAACTCTGAGGCAAATCAGGGAGATCCGAAGTGAAATTTGTTACAATATCGTCCCAAATATGCTACCCTGAGGAACACCAGATCTAACACTGTAGAATGCTTTTTATATCTATATAAGAGCAATGTCCAGATTATTTTGAACGAATAGACATGAAATACTTATGATAAATGTTACTAATAGATTATTCTTTTCTTTCTAGGGAAATAATGGAGCCCACCAAGGACCCATTGGCCTATGCATGGGGTGGCAATACTGGAAATCATGGCAACAAATACAAAGAAGATTTAACGTTGGTGCTGTTTGAGCGAGCATCTTTCGGGAAATCAGAATTCAAACTTGCCTCAGAAATGAAGGACGCTGGAAAATTTGATGGCGTAGTCATAATTTTCGAAGAACAGGAGGAAATGTGGTTAATTCAAACCAAACACAAAGGCAGCTCAGGTGATACAAAACCATTATCGTTCGACAATTTTTTTCCGAAGATGTTCAAGGATAATCAAGATTTTGCTCTTGTGAAGTACATACAGTCATATTTAGATGTCATTCAAAAAGATGTATTCAAGAAGTATAAGAAACGATTTTTTATCCTAACCAATAAATCATTAGACGTTAGCGATGAAAAGCTTAAGGAATTGGTGGACATCGAGATCTGTGAACAAAGTGAAGTGAACCCAATAATGAAGTTAGCTAAATCCGACAATTGCTACATAAGATTCAGACCAAAAGAGGATAACATTGAAGAATTACTGAATTTGCTGAACACCGAAATAACTGCCATTAGGGATGCAATCATTGAACTCTTCAAAAGTGGAAAAGTTTCGGACATACTGACAAAGTACAAAACACAATTGCAGAAGATCCTGACAGTTTCATGTGGAAATCTAAAGTTCACCGATAATTTCTTAAACCATCAGGTCAATACCTCCCATCTATGGTTGTACAATGAGCTACGAAATAAGATTCATAAAAAATCAACGGTAAACATAGAAACAAATCAAGCGATTCAAAATCTGATGAAAGGTAAATCTAGGGACACACAACTACCTCTATATATAAATGAAGAACGCGTGAGCAAGTTCTTTCAGCATCTAACTTTCTGTGTAGACCAACCAAATGATCTAATGACAACCGTCAAGGATGATCTTCGCTCATGGATGAGAACTTGGATTCTACCGGACAATCTTGGCAAAGCACAATTAGAGCTGCCTTTCTTTAAATTTTATCAATGTTTTAAAGATTGGATCAATCTTAGTAGTGACAAGCATACACAAAAGATTTACTTAACTGGAGCCGAGGGACGTAAGTGTGTCAAAGACATAACGGAAGAACTGAGTCATAATTTATCACAACGTGAAAGCGAGTACATAGGAAGAAAATTAATTGCAAATAATCATATTGTAAGCGACCATGATTTCATCAAACGATTAATAGACGACCCAGAAGAGAGCAAATTTTCTCTCTTCATCGGAGAGCCTGGTATGGGAAAAACAACTATCCTCCAATACATTGCCTTCGAAGTTCAAAAGAAATCCGATATTGATGTGTTCTTGATATATTTGAATAACCTACAGGAAATGCTCAAAACGGGCTGTGAAAACTTAGAAACGGTTTACACAATTCTTAAACCGACTCTTTCAAAAACAAGCTTGACAATATTAAAAAACAATCTAGAAAGCAACGCAAATCGGTCTATAATCATATTTGATGGGTTCGATGAGATCACTTTTCATGACGAGGCAATCGCCATGTTTAAGCAAATATTGTCAAAGAAGAATAATCGAGTGATTGTAAGTGGAAGATATCATGTCAAATGTATTCTTGAAACAACTTTTAGAATAGGGGCAATCAGATTGATTCCATTTGAAAAAGATGCACAAATGATGTTTTTGAAAAATTCATGGAAAGCTTCCGATGATTCAATGGAATTTAAAATTTATTCAACTCAATTGCTCGAAAAAATATACTCGGACATAACAAGCGATGAGTATGAATTCTTTGGAAATCCACTTATGATTCGATTGTTGGCGGAAGCATATTCTGATGATTTCCAACAATATGTAAATACTGTTCCATATAAACGTGTACAATATATTTTCGCGGCAAAAAATTTTAATGTTGTCTCATTGTTTAAAAAGTTTGTGCAGTTTTCGTTTCAAATAAAATGGAAGAAAAATAGATACCAAGATGCCTACCAAAATTTTGACATGCAAAGTAATGAAGAAGAGAAGCGTCAGTTGAAATACTTTATTATTGAGCATCAAATAGTTGCCTGCCATCAGATTATTTGGCATAGCCATCAGAAAGTAATCACATCGGCTGAACACGAAAAACTTTACAATGACCTCCAAATAAGAATCAAAAAAGGAAAAGAGCGCTCTCCTCTATTTAATATTTCCGATGGCAATATTAGATTCATACACTTATCCTTTGCCAAATTTTTTGCTGCGATGTATATATATGATTATATCCAAAACTGCAAAGCAATTTTGTACGAAACACTTGTGGATCATGAAACAGTCCGAAGATTTTTTTTTAAGCTAACTGAAGAACAGTATTCACAACAATCAGAGCAAATGATTGTTCTGAGCGATATTTGTAAAAAAAAAGCTGAGGTTGCATTCTGGGCATGTGAAGCAAGTTCATTAAAAGTGTTAAGGGAACTGCTACAAAAGAATGATTTCAAAACTAGAAAACACGAAAAATATGGATCTTTATTACACACTGCGACGTATGCTGGTAATTCTGAGCTGGTTTTATTTCTACTTGTTTATGGCATCGATGCTAATCTGATCGCCCATTTTGAGATATTTCATGGTTATGATAAACACCTCAATACAAGTCCTCTGCACATTGCAAGTAAAAAAGGACATCTTGAAATTGCTAAACTTCTCCTCGATAGATCTTCATATGTGAATCTTCAGGATGAAGAAAAAAGAACACCTCTCCACTATGCAAGTGAAAATGGTCACTTAGAAATTACTAAACTCCTCCTCGAAAGATCTGCAGATGTGGATCATCAGGATAAAAATAATAGAACACCTCTCCACTATGCAAGTGGAAATGGGCATTTAGAAATTGTTAAACTTCTTCTCGATAGATCTGCAAATGTGGATCATCAGGATGAAAATAAAAAAACACCTCTCAATTATGCAAGTGAAAATAGGCATTTAGAAATTATTAAACTTCTTCTCGATCGATCTGCAAATGTGGATCATGAGGATAAAAATAATAGAACACCTCTCCACTATGCAAGTGGAAATGGGCATTTAGAAATTGTTAAACTTCTTCTCGATAGATCTGCAAATGTGGATCATCACGATGAAAATAATAGAACACCTCTTCACTATGCAAGTGAAAATGGGCATTTAGAAATGGTTAAACTTCTTCTCGATAGATCTGCAAATGTGGATCATCAGGATGAAGTAAAAAGAACACCTCTCCACTATGCAAGTGAAAATGGGCATTTAGAAATTGTTGAACTTCTTCTTGATAGATCTGCAAATGTGGATCATCACGATGAAAATAATAGAACACCTCTTCACTATGCAAGTGAAAATGGGCATTTAGAAATGGTTAAACTTCTTCTCGATAGATCTGCAAATGTGTATCATCAGGATGAAAATAAAAAAACACCTCTCCATTATGCAAGTGAAAATAGGCATTTAGAAATTATTAAACTTCTTCTCGATCGATCTGCAAATGTGGATCATCAGGATGAAGTAAAAAGAACACCTCTCCACTATGCAAGTGAAAATGGGCATCTAGAAGTTGCTAAACTTCTTCTCGATGGTTCCGCAAATGTGGATCATCAGGATGAAAATAAAAAAACACCTCTCCACTATGCAATTGTAAATGGGCATCTAGCCATTGCTAAACTTCTTCTCGATAGATCTGCCAATGTAGATCATCAGGATGAAGAAAAAAGAACATCTCTCCACTATGCAAGTGAAAATGGGCATCTTGAAATTGCTGAACTTCTCCTCAATGAATTTGTCAATGTGGATCATCAGGATGAAAATAAAAAAACACCTCTCCACTATGCAAGTAAAAATGGGCATTTAGAAATTGCTAAACTTTTCCTCGATCGATCTGCAAATGTGGATCATCAGGATGAAAATAATAGAACTCCCCTCCACTATGCAAGTGAAAATGGGCATCTAGAAGTTGCTAAACTTCTTCTCGATAGTTCCGCAAATGTGGATCATCAGGATGAAAATAAAAAAACACCTCTCCACTATGCAAGTGTAAATGGGCATTTAGAAATTGCTAAACTTCTCCTCGATCGATCTGCAAATGTGGATCATCAGGATGAAAATAAAAAAACACCTCTCCATTATGCAAGTGAAAATGGACATTTAGAAATTGTTGAACTTCTTCTCGATAGATCTTCATATGTGAATCTTCAGGATGAAGAAAAAAGAACACCTCTCCACTATGCAAGTAAAACTGGGCACTTAGAAATTACTAAACTCCTCCTCGAAAGATCTGCAGATGTGGATCATCAGGATAAAAATAATAGAACACCTCTCTACTATGCAAGTGAAAATGGGCATCTTGACATTGCTAAACTTCTTCTCGATAGATCTGCAAATGTGGATCATCAGGATGAAAATAAAAAAACACCTCTCCATTATGCAAGTGAAAATGGACATCTTGACATTGCTAAACTTCTTCTCGATAGATCTGCAAATGTGGATCATCAGGATGAAAATAAAAAAACACCACTCCATTATGCAAGTGAAAATGGACATTTAAAAATTGTTGAACTTCTTCTCGATAGATCTGCAAATGTGGATCATCAGGATGAAGAAAAAAGAACACCTCTCCACTATGCAAGTGAAAATGGGCATTTAGAAATTGTTAAACTTCTTCTCGATAGATCTGCAAATGTGGATCATCAGGATGAAAATAAAAAAACACCTCTCCATTATGCAAGTGAAAATGGACATTTAGAAATTGTTGAACTTCTTCTCGATAGATCTGCAAATGTGGATCATCACGATGAAAATAATAGAACACCTCTTCACTATGCAAGTGAAAACGGGCATCTTGAAATTGCTAAACTTCTCCTCTATAGATCTGCAAATGTGGATCGTCAGGATGAAGAAAAAAGAACTCCTCTCTACTATGCAAGTGAAAATAGGCATCTAGAAATTGCTAAAGTTCTTCTCGATGGTTCTGCAAATGTGGATCATCAGGATGAAAATAAAAGAACACCTCTCCACTATGCAAGTGTAAATGGGCATCTAGCCATTGCTAAACTTCTTCTCGATAGATCTGCCAATGTAGATCATCAGGATGAAGAAAAAAGAACATCTCTCCACTATGCAAGTGAAAATGGGCATCTTGAAATTGCTGAACTTCTCCTCAATGAATTTGTCAATGTGGATCATCAGGATGAAAATAAAAAAACACCTCTCCACTATGCAAGTAAAAATGGGCATCTAGCCATTGCTAAACTTCTTCTCGATAGATCTGCAAATGTGGATCATCAGGATGAAAATAAAAAAACACCTCTCCATTATGCAAGTGAAAATGGACATCTTGACATTGCTAAACTTCTTCTCGATAGATCTGCAAATGTGGATCATCAGGATGAAAATAAAAAAACACCACTCCATTATGCAAGTGAAAATGGACATTTAAAAATTGTTGAACTTCTTCTCGATAGATCTGCAAATGTGGATCATCAGGATGAAGAAAAAAGAACACCTCTCCACCATGCAAGTGAAAATGGGCATTTAGAAATTGTTAAACTTCTTCTCGATAGATCTGCAAATGTGGATCATCAGGATGAAAATAAAAAAACACCACTCCATTATGCAAGTGAAAATGGACATTTAGAAATTGTTGAACTTCTTCTCGATAGATCTGCAAATGTGGATCATCACGATGAAAATAATAGAACACCTCTTCACTATGCAAGTGAAAACGGGCATCTTGAAATTGCTAAACTTCTCCTCTATAGATCTGCAAATGTGGATCGTCAGGATGAAGAAAAAAGAACTCCTCTCTACTATGCAAGTGAAAATAGGCATCTAGAAATTGCTAAAGTTCTTCTCGATGGTTCTGCAAATGTGGATCATCAGGATGAAAATAAAAAAACACCTCTCCACTATGCAAGTGAAAATGGGCATCTAGAAGTTGCTAAACTTCTTCTCGATGGTTCCGCAAATGTGGATCATCAGGATGAAAATAAAAAAACACCTCTCCACTATGCAAGTGTAAATGGGCATCTAGAAGTTGCTAAACTTCTTCTCGATAGTTCCGCAAATGTGGATCATCAGGATGAAAATAAAAAAACACCTCTCCACTATGCAAGTGTAAATGGGCATCTAGCCATTGCTAAACTTCTTCTCGATAGATCTGCCAATGTAGATCATCAGGATGAAGAAAAAAGAACATCTCTCCACTATGCAAGTGAAAATGGGCATCTTGAAATTGCTGAACTTCTCCTCAATGAATTTGTCAATGTGGATCATCAGGATGAAAATAAAAAAACACCTCTCCACTATGCAAGTAAAAATGGGCATTTAGAAATTGCTAAACTTCTCCTCGATCGATCTGCAAATGTGGATCATCAGGATGAAAATAATAGAACACCTCTCCACTATGCAAGTAAAAATGGGCATTTAGAAATAGCTAAACTTCTCCTTGGTCCTTCTGCATCATGATGAAAGAGATCACAATATTGAAAAACAATCTAGAAAGCAACGCTAATCGGTCTGTAATCATATTTGATGGTTTCGATTAGATTACTTTTTATTTGGTATTTGTAAAGGCGAACGTCATGGCAGTGCTGTGATAAATATTCGATTAATTAAGTGTAAAATTGTGCTTGTGCTATACCACGAATAGATCCTACGTGTAGTGATGTCCGATTTTCCCAACTAATCGATTATTTACTAATCGATTAGTTTTTTTTTTATTGATTGTAGTCAACACCGATTAATCTGCGTGAAATAATCGATTAATCAAATAATCGATTAATTTTAACACTACCAACGTCTCTAAGAAGGTGTTTTTACTAGCTGTAGATTATACATCCTTGATTCATGGGTAAATTATTGTTTCGAGATATAATAATTCAATAAAATACACTTTTACTCTTTAATGCTTATTAACATTCTTATTAGAGATATAGTGAGAAAAAAGACAACTTGCATCTTTACGACGAATTGATTATGTCTTTGGACTGCAATATCATTGTCTAAAAAATAATACTTACTCAAACCGAACATCTTCTCCAACAGATTGTAGGAATAGTATCTAGTTGAGATGCGGGCCAGACAAACAGTTTTTAATTAATCATTTTGTCAGGCTTCTGCATTCATTTTCCATCAGATGTCACTGCTGTTGTTTGCGGTGACATCTAACGGAAACTACGCATAATATGTTTTCCGTTCATTGTTCACAGAAGACAGTGCAGTGCAAAACTTTGACTTTAAATGATCTATATTTCTTGAATTTGTGTGGTTTACATGTACAACTTATCAAGTGACACATATGCGTCTTTTCAACTTTAGTTCCTTTGAAATTTCAATTATTATTAATTACAGTTCCTAGTCCTATCAGGTCTGTTTTAGAGAATGACTATTTATGACTACTATTTACAACTACAACTAACCTACAACTACTATATACACCTAATCTACTATATACAAATTGCTTATTAGAGCATGTTCTGATAAAATACATTTTTGTGAAAATTTAGTCTTAATTTTGTTAATTCTGGAATCTATTTTGGCAATGCCTGCCTCTTCGTGTAAATTTGTTATTCTAGTGTCAAAAGGACGATCAAGAACCATCCTCAGCACTCTATTCTGAGTGACCTGAATTTTGTTCCTGTGAGTCTTTGCACATGATTACCACACCGGAGCTGCGTAGAGGATCGCAGGTGCTATAATTTGTTTGTAGACAGCCAGTTTGTTTACCCTTGAGAGGCGGGATCTACGGCTAATCAGCAGATACAGACACCTAACCAAGGCGGAACACTTGATTACGGTTTTCTCCACATGTGAGCGAAATAGGAGCTTTTCATCAAACAACATCCCGAGATAGGTTACTTCGGCAGACCACTCAACCCTTGTGCCATCCATGATTACAGTACAAGATGGAGCTGCTTTTAGTTTGGGCGATTGCCGATGGAGAAACATGATTGTTTATGTTTTGGAGGCATTGATTTTGGTTTACCACGTGGTGGCGCATAATCAGCAAAGGCGTTAAGGCATCGTTGAAGTTTGTTCGTTATTTCGTGAGGCATATCCTACGCAGGTGTGGAAGCTGCCTTCCTGCAAATTCGATTGCCGTCTATGGATGGCAATCGATGTCCGTTGGTGATTGAAACTAGATTGCGGAACAGAGACCGACGTTAAATAAAGGACAGAAGAAGAAGAAGAAGAAGAAGAAGAAGAAGAAGAAGAAGAAGAAGAAGAATGAGTAGTAGTAGTAGTAGTAGTATTAGTAGTAGAAGAATAAGAAGAAGGAGAAGAAGAAGAAGAAGAAGAAGAAGAAGAATAAGAATACCTTTGCTGGAGGTAGTTACGGGTGATTTTAACCAGATGTAATGGGAAGTTGAAGTTACAAAGCTTGTACACAAGTCCGTCATGCCAAACATTGTCAAACGCCAAGCAACAAACTTACCCCTCACAGGAACTTGTCGAGCGTATGTCTCGTCAGCCACGGTTATGGCTTGGAGGAGTCCCTCCAATGCTAGGTCGATGTCCTACACGGTGTTAAGCGGCGGGTTGTCGATGATGTGTCTGTCTACCACGCGTGGGCCCAGTTTACGCGTTGGTACTCCTTGTGCAGACGTGGAGCAGGGGCCACGTTGTAGCCCAGTTCAGCCTCCACCGGTTGGTGGTCGGAGCTGAGTTCGTTCAAGGCTACCGGCTTGGACAAGCTGGTATTTGACAGGAACAGGTCTAGCGTCGATGGGTTGCCGCCGGTGAGATGAATGTTGGCTCATTCGAAAACCAAACGGAGTACAGCCCATGCTGCGAGTGGTCGAACAGCAGACAACCGTTCTGGTTCTGCTGGTAGTTCCGCCAGGCCTCATGGCGAGCATTTAGATCTCCTCCAACTACGAAGCGGGAACCGGTATGGGTGATGGTGGACAGGTCCTTCTTGAATTTAGCCGCTAGTCCACTGCTGGCGGCACACTGTCGTGGGTAGTAGACGGCGTTGAACTGGACGTATCCAGTCGACGACTCCACCTCCACACCAAGGGCCTCGATGATAGAGGTGCGGAAATGGGACAGAGTGTGGTATTGTATCCCTTTCTTGACGACGACCGCAACGCCCCCCCCCCCCCCTGGAGCTGGTGTGATCAAGCCGACTAATGTTGTGGTCAGGCAAGCAGAAGCTGTCACCGGACTTTAGATGGGTCTCGGTTAGAAGGCCCACGTCGATGCTGTGCTTGCGGAGGAAGTCGGCAAGCTTAATCTCTTTTGCTCTTACAGAGCAAGCATTCCAGGTGACGATAGTTAGCGGTTTAGAGGCCATACTGGATGATGAACTTACCGAGCATTTGGATCTGTTCGGGCTTATTGCGGTACTTACGAAGATCACCGGACATGTTGACGAAAATTTCCATCAGTTTGTCCGCTGAGAATAGATCGGGGTTGTTGTTTTGCGCTGCTGGTTGTCTCCAGAATTCAGGGGGGGATGGAGAGCTTTGGCCAGCAAAATCACCGGAAGTTGCTTGAGCGGAATGCACCCGCGAATTCGCTTGCCTTTGCCGAGGAGCACGAAGAGGCGGAAAATCCACCGTCCGAAATGCCGGGACTTTGTCCTTCTTGCGTCCTGGTTGGTTGTTAGTTGCCACCTGTTTTCGGATTCGTTTGAAGTCCTCACGTTTGGAGCACTGTCTGTCAGAACCTTGATGTGCATCACCACAGCCACGGCTCCATCCACAGGGCAGTCAGAAGTGGCATGTTCGTGAGCGCAGTTGCTGCAGCGTGGCTTGATGTTGCAGATGCGAGTGCCGTGTCCAATGTTCAGACATCGTTGGCACTGGGTCACATCGCGATGGCCTCCACGGTACGGCTCCCATCGTACGATGATGGAGTACATTGAGCGAATAGCCTGCAGCGCATTCAGCGTCACCTTTCCCTTCTGGAAGTACACCAGGAAAATACAATCCGGGTACGTCTTCACGTTTTCGTCTCTCCTAGTTATCTGAAAGACAGCGATTGGGGCCAGCTTGTACCGGTCCTTGAGTTCTTCTTCGATCGCCTTGGGATCAACATTCGGTAGACCTTAGTGCAGATCCTACTGATCTTGTACACAGCGGCGATTTCCCAGTGATGCAAAATCGCCAATGAGCGTCTTGAGAGGCACTACCTTCACCACCAGTTAGGTTTCGGCGTCGCCGAAATCACCGATGTCGCTGGCGTTCGTCGCGATAACATCATCGCGTCCACTCGTACCATCGGACTGTCCTTGATTATTCTTCCTCTTTTTCGTCCGCTTCACCGGGACTGGGTTGGTATTCCCAACATCGGTGGGAAGAGTAGCATACCTATTTGAGATAGATACTGAGCTACCCTCATCACTGTTCTTCTTTTCCGCTTTATCACGGAACCTGCTCCGGGAGCGCTGTCTTCCCATCACACGAAGCAACCGACACTACGCGATTAAACTGCGAATGTTTGGAACAAAGTAGGAACTTTTGAACAACTCGACAGAGCGAGCAAAAACCGAACTGTACTGCTTGACGTTCAAGCAGAGAATGATGAGCCAAAGAACCAACAACTTTGGCTTCAAGTAAAATGTTCGTGAATGACGTTTCTGCCACCGGAGAGTGATGAAGATGTCGTGGAGTGAACGCCAGACCGGCTCAACCGGGTGGGACAGTCTGGCGCTAATATGGTGTAGCGAGCCTCTTGCAGGTCATCGTTCAGGATGGTGCCGTTTTGGTTGCGTCGACTGTTGCCTCAAGCCTGGTGTTTGGCGTTCAGGTCGCCAGCGATGATGTACTTTTCGCGCCGTCGAGTTAGTTTGATGATGTCCCTCCGCAGGTCTGCTGCCGACCCGTCGACTTGCTTGGGCAGTAGGTCACAATGATGGCGATAGGGCTGACAGGAGTGGAGACTTCTGCCCCTAAAGCTTCGATGGTTTTCTGCTGGAAGCTCGGAAGAAGCCGAGAGAAGATGTTTCTCCTTATAGCAATGGCCACTCCTCCTCCCCCGGAGCTGGTTCGATCAAGTCTTAGAGGCCGGAAGTCAGGAAGGTAGATGTTTAACTCCAGTTTCAGGTGGGTTTCGGTGATAACGGTAATGTCGATGTTTTGTTTGTTGAGGAAGTTCAACGAACTCAATGATCTTGCTCTTGAGCGAGCAAGCGTTCCAGTTGGCGATCTTGATGGTTTCACGGTCCATAATTGTCAATGAAACGTGATGCAGCAAGAATCTGCTCGGTTTTGGTTCTGCAGGAGCGTTTGATGATGATTGCTTCTGCCATGATGGTAATGAGTTCCTCTGTTGTGAGTAGCTCTTCGTGGAGGCCCTTTTGCGGATTTCCATGAATTCCGCACGCTTCGGGCAAGACTTGCTGGTAGCTCGATGTGCTGCACACAGTTGGCGCATTGTGGATCGGCGTTCTCCATCCTCTCACATTCTTCGGGTGCGTGTTGCTTGCCACATTAGTTGCAGCGATGAGCCATGTGGCAATTTTTGGTCCCATGCCCAAACATGAGGCAGTTTGAGCATTGGGTGACGTTTACGGGGGCGAGGTTGGTAGCGTTCCCACTGAACCACGATGTGGAAAAGCGCCCGAATACACTGCAGGTCCTTCAAACACGTTGTGTTTCGCTCGAGGTGGACCAAATACAGCTGGTCACGGTACTTACGGGAGACGTCTTGCCGATTCATCTTTAAGACTTGCAACGGCTTTAGACCGTTCTTCTTTAGCTCATCCGACA